TAGCATAGTAACTTCTTCCAGTAATGTAACTGGTAGCTCGCAAAGTAGCTTCCCCATTAAGAGTTTATATAACTGAACACCATATGTAGGCTTTTGCTGCTTCAGTCCAGACATTTAGCACCAACTCTGGATGAAATGACATTTTCTTTCTCTTTCTTTCTTTTGTTTTCCCTTGTGATTAATTTCATGACTTTGCCATTTTTTATTACTGAGGAAAAAGAGCTCATTCTCTCTTTTATAAATCAGTTGAGTGTCACATAAAACACAAGACAAAGGTGACGCAACAGCTCTTACAAAATAACACTATTCACAGCATGGGAAATTACTGTTTCAATTTTATGATTGTGGAAAGCTGTGGAACTGAAACACACCATGCTGTTACGCCATATGTTTCACAGCTTTGTCTACAAGCCCTGACTGGTCCCTTTGATTACACATTGTTAACCATACAACCAGAGTAACACTGCTTGAATGTGCAGTCACTCAAGCCTCAGCAACTTTTGTACAACATGACATCAATGCGAGAAAACAAAAACATTTCCATTGCTATTTTTTTCTTTTTTTTACACTAATGCTCTCCATGTCCAGTGAATTTCATCTTTTAGGAATGCCACTTCGACTCATGCAGACTCTAAGTGCACTGTCAACAGGATTAGTAGTACAGAATAGTTTAAAATGTGGTTTAACTGTATGTCCTTTTTGGTCCCAAGTTTGTTAGTTTGCGGTAGAAAGCAACAGGAAACATGAAAAGAGAAAAGATCAGTGGTACCTGATGAAAGTCCCCAGCTGGACTCCAACTGGGAACGTCACAGATTAAATTCAAGGTTTTTGTGGGTCTGAAATGGAATAGTAAACAGTGGTTTTCTTTTTTTTTGTATAATCCTCTACATAGACCATATACTCACAGTATAAAATGACTTGCAGTCTTTCCCAATTCAGGCAGATAAGTTTATATTAGACTAACTTTGTAACAAAGAGTACTATATCATGTGCTGCCATTTCCATTTGGAAAGGCTGGTCCCATTTCCAAAACCACTGTGCTCCTGGAATATCTGCCTCTCTCAACCAGCAATTTATTGAACAAGGCAGTCTCATCTTTTCCACTCTTCACCGTCATGAGAAGCTGTAATTCTCTGTCACTATCCTCAGCACGATCTTTCTCTCTCCCCCCTCCACGAAGAGCCAAGCTAAGGCAACTTGCATACAAAACAGCTGACTCAATCATCCAGCTGCATAATCAAGATAAGGGAGACGGGGACAGGAAAAGGGAGATGTGAGGACTAATGTAAGATGCAGCTTTAGCAACAGCAGCAAAACGAAAATTTGAGACATTAAAAGTTAGAAGACAGTGATTCACAGTGATGGTAAGAGCTAAGCTGGGGCTGATCTTCTGAATGAGGTTGGTCACTAAAAATTAATACAGTACTTGGACTCTAGTGGCATAATACAAATTGTTTAAAGTTTGTCTTCTTTTCCCTTTAAATGTCAGTGAGACAGTAACATATTATTTAACCAGAGCAGCAATGATACAGCACTCCTACACCTATGTCTGTGGTGCAGCTGAGTGGAAAGCCAGAGAGCTGTTCTTATAGACCTGTCATTTCTTTGGCTGTGACTGGAGGTGTAGGTTATATTAAACATGGCATTGTTTCAGTATTTTTCAATATGCCTTAGACTACTGATCTCCCACCCACTAGCAGCACCACCACCCTCCTCCTCTGACAGAGGATTCACAGTCTTCATTTGTGACTTCAGAGATGGCTAAACATCTTTGCAAATAATGTCTTTGATGACTTAAAGAAGAAATCAAACCATAAAAAGCCTTATGCAATTCATATAAACCAACTAAAATCTAATGGCCACTATAAGATATGCATTTCCCGGACAGATGGCAAAGACGCAGCAAAATCCTCAGCTAATCTGAATGTGCCTGCACAGGGTTCCTGTACAGTAAGTACAGTACATAATACCTTCAGGCCATGCAATGCAACAATAATTTATTATTGTGTTTCAAATCATCTGAATCATACCTTTGCCTTAATGATGAAGGGCTTTGTATAGTATTGTGTCCTGTGAGCTTCATGTGGATGTCGTTTTGTGGCTGTGGTGTGTAGGCTGAGAGGATCTAGCAGTGCTGAAACAAAGCTTTTTTATTTATTGTGTAAATTTCATAAATATACACATATATAAATCACTGTTTACTATTCCATTTACATTAGTAACATGAGTGTAGAATTCTGACTTGCATGTAAATTGTTATCAGCTTCTGATTATGAAAGATGAAAAGTGAAGTTCAGCCGTTCCGGGCTAAGTAAAGCGGCCGGGAGCTGTCCGTGGTGCTGAAGCGACGTCTCCAGCGGGCGGTGTTACTGGAGCTTTTCAGTTGCACACACCCGCTGCACTTTCAGTGGAGCTGTATAAGGTGGAGTGCACGCACAGCTGATGGAAATTGTGTTATAAAAAACGTACTACCTATTAGGTACAATAATGTTCAAATTGATAAAACTTACAAAGGGAAACTCTGACTATTTGCACTATACAGAACATGAATCAGTGTAAAGAACGCTCTCCTGTCTCGTTCACAGTGCATATCAGCTTGCAAAGATCTCACAGAAATGAACTCAAAATGCGTCGACTTCGCATGAGGGTACATAAGTTCCGTTGTGCATTTTGTAAGGATTGTGAGCACTTATTAGTTCTACACAGTATGCACAGCAGCCGAGCATAATAATATTTCTCCTCAAAGCACAACATTTTAACTATAATGATTTATCTTTGCTCCTAGGGAATGCAAACCAAAAGAGACCAAGTATGTGTGTTGGTGTTGGTGTGTTGAAACTGCGTTATTAAAGTATAAAACCCAGCAACAGTGCATCAGCTTACCTGCTTGACGATCACGGAGCAAGAGCCACTTCCCGATACTGACAGCTTAATGTACACCACCAGAAATACAGGATATTTTCAAAGAGATGTGTCTGATAGATCGTAGAGAATAGAAATGGAAGAGAAAACAAATCCCAGTTTTCTGTTTTCGGTTTGGAAATGTACAAAGCAGCGACTGACTGCGTCGAGGGAGATTCTCAAAGATCCATTTAGCGGTGAGTGATTGAATTCAGAGCCGCGCTCCTCTCACCGCTCGCCTTTATGTATGCAGAACAGACCCGGAGCCCTGCTGGGGTTTTTTCTATTGTACCGAGAGCGGACACCGGCGTTTAACCACAGCCAAAAGAGGCGGGTAGGTAGACAGGTATTACTGTATCACTCGTGAAATTGCGGGGCATAAGTACAAGAGGAGCGCATGTTGATCCTCCACTCTAGCCGAAGCAAAGTTTAAATCTCATAATAAGATTGTTTGTCAGCGCCAGGCTATAAATGGTGGCGGGTTCAACACGGAGGCAGGCGGGTTTATGGCAACTCATGCAACTGAAAGGAAAGCGCATGCTAGTCTCGTAAAAACTGAATAGTCGGAGTGAAAAGTATTATTTACGTCACTGAGGCTTTAGGGCTTGAACAGCCTATCCATGAGCATACTTCTCCTCCTTTTTTCACTGAACACAGGCGCTGCAAATGGTTTTGAATTGCTAAATTTCACAGTCAAGATGGGGGCATGCTTAATCTGTTATTACATGAAGGGAGATTTTTTCTTTCCTTGCATAAATGTCCACCGGTCCGACCAGCAGGGGGCCCTTTAATATACCAAAATGAACGCTTAATAAGTTAATTTAGGACTATTTGGTGCCCTAACTCTTAAAAAAAGTTTGTGTCTGCATGGAGCATGGTTGTATTGCCTATCACCTATCATGTTATATTTGCCCATTCTTCTAAATTCATAGCTTTACAGGCATGTGTCATGACAGTTGCAGGCAGTAAGTTGTCCCCTTAGACAAGCTTTGGTCCATGTGATAGTAAAGCCATACATAAAAGTGTTAAATTACTGAATACAATAACCTGCAGAATGCATATTTTCAATATGGACCTGCACTCATGCAGTTTGACAGGAATAGAAGAATATATTAATCTGTTTAAACATACTTGTGGATACCCAGCTGTCTCTTTACTCTCCCTTTGTGTTCACACATTAATAAAATCTACATTTTTCAAAGAATAATATGCAGATCTAAAGGCATGGCAAGGTTCACTGAGCTCCTGCTTGTATAGGATCAACACAAAATGAGCTGAAAAAAGTTCTGAAAACAGAGGAACAGATTATACTATAGTTCCCTGCCAAGATATGGTTGTGACAAAATCTGATCTGTGCCTCAAGGGTTAAACCAAGATTGTTTGTCCCTCTGTAAATGCAGTCCAAGGTTTAATTTATAGAGTGCAGACCGATGTCCTCTGTGATGACGTAGTCTGGGGGATGACCTGAACAAGATGGGAAGCGGCAGCCAGGCTGCAGATGCTCTTCTCTGAGAGTGAACGAGTGGTTGTGTGAGGACTTGGCACAAATGCTGCAATGTCTTGTTTCATTGCAGCAGTCACATTGGAGCTGTGAAATGTGGACATAGACAGTCTGGCCCAGGAAGTCACAGCACTGCAGCAGCTGAGAATGACTGACACAGTGCATCATGCTCTCTAATATCGTCATGACCCCGGGGCAAACCTGATATAAGACCCCATACAGACACTGAAGCCTGTGTTCCCTGTGTTGCAACTGCACACCACCCTGAATTCACAAAATAAAGGTTTACAGCTATCACCTCCCACAGCTGGCAAAGGAAAGAACAGGTCCCAGCCAAAGGTCTTGAGCAGGTAAAATGCCAGTGTTTCTGCTTCAATTCTGAATCCTACCATGCTAAGTAATTCTGTGAATACATTGGAGCAGCACATAGGTGCAGGGCTTTATCTGAAAAAAATCTCTCTTTTTTTGTCTATTTTTAATTCAGGCATAACACAAGGACTCTGCACCTTTCAGAGTGCAGCAGACGGGGTGGGCTTGATGGGTTTTCATAATGAACCTTTTCAGCTGAATTTACTTTGTGTGCACAAACACTTTAATGTCATTCTGGTATGAGCTTTAATTCCCAGTGGGTAGGACTGCCTTATTAATGATGTATAATGTAAAGTGGAGGGTAAATATATATATAAAAGGACATATTTCCTATGTTAAATCCCACTGTATAATGTTGTGATGCATTGTTACCCTGCTACTGGATGATGTGAAGGTTTTGAGAAAGACTAGAAATCAACTTTCTGTTTTATACAAATGGACACTTTATGTAACTAATCATATGATCCAGTGGGGCAGTAGGTTTGTTTACACTGCAATATTTAACCAGTTAAACTGAAAGTTCTGCATTATGTTCAACATGATTTAAACAAAGCAAGAACAGCAATGAATTTTTCATTTAATGATAGTCTTTACATGCTCTAAGCTATGTTTTATGACTCCCCCCAGCAAAAATCAAACACCAGGCTCAATTACTGTTTCTCTCATTTTCCAGTGTACTGTTTCACAAATGACTCAGCCAAGTCTGAATACTGAATACATCAAATAATAGGCAGTTCCCAGTGATATACATTTGATTTCTTAATGCATTAGCTTTTTTGCATGCTGTATACAAAAATTTATATTTTTGCTATAAATCTATATTCATTCATTCATTTTCTACCGCTTAGTCCCTGAACGAGGTCACGGGGTGGGGGGGGGGGGTGGGGGGAGCCAATCCCGGC